TTTTTTTCTTTCTTTTTTTCTTTTTTTTTTTTTTTTATGTAGTGCATATAGGATGTCTTATTTAATTTTGTCATTTGAAATATTTTTACTATGTATAAAATTTTATAAAAATTATTTTATATAATTGTGTAATTTGCTATACATTTACTATATATCAAAAAAGTAAAAATTTAAAAATATTTTCTTTTTTTCTACGATCATTTTAAAAAGAAATTCAATTATATATAATAGTAAATTCTTCAAGATCATTAAGATTATACAAAGAAATCATATTAAGTTTTTTTATTATTATTTATTAGAATAAATTTATCTATTAGAAAAATTTAAATTTAAAAATTACATTTAAAATTTAAAATTTAAAAATTTATTTTATTATTTACAAACAATCAATATGAGCAATATTTTTATAAAATTTTAAATATGATAAAATATTTCATATGACAAAAAAATTAGTTGAAATATATAAACATATACAGGGTGTTCACATTATTTGTGTCAATTTTTCAGCCGTGTACTACAATTCAAAAAAAAAATTTTTAATAGATAATAAAAGATATATATAATATATATTATATATAATATATAGATAATATACAACATATATAATATGCAACTTATAGATAATATGCAACATAATAATAAAAATTTCAGGAACATTTTTATTTTATTTTATTTTATTTACAGTAAGTACAAATTATCATAAATATGATAATTATTGTAAATTTAAATATATAAATGAATCATACAATTTATTTCTATAATATTATGGAGAAAGTTAATACGAGCAAAATAATAAAAATTCACATTTTTATTCATCAAGTAAGTTTACAATATTTAGAAATTGTTTTTTCATTACATCACTGCAAGCTGAAAAATCATGAGTGAATACTTTGTATATATTAAGATAGAACGAAAAAATTAAAATTATATAATTATTTTTTATGAAAAATTGTTTCACTTTTTAAATGTAGTATGCAAAATTTTTTATAAAGTTAATCTTTGAAGTGCCACAAGAATTTTGGAATTTTATTATTTTGTTTTTTTTTCATATATTTTTAAATAATTATAATATATTTAATATAATATATTTTTTTTATTTATTTTTTTAATTCTAAATCTTTTTTATTTTAAATCTTTGTCTTATTCTAAATCTAATTGATATATTTTCATTTAAAATTATTTAAAATTTATTTTTAACAACAACTAAATTATTGTTAATTATTAAAGAAAAATATATGAAATCAATAAAAATAATCATTTATAAATTTTATGAAACTTTGCAAATTTATTAGATTTTAATATTATAAATATTACTATATGGAAAATAACTCTTATTTGCTTATTGAAAATTATGAACCGTGAAAAAGAATTTTATTTCTATGTTTCGTTCTATCCTAATATTTTATTTATTAATTTTTCTATTTCTTTTCTTTTTTTTTTTTTCAATCATTTTTAATTTCAGTCATCGTAACATTATAAAAAGTTAATATATTCATGAATCTTTAAAAAATCGATTCTAAAAATCAGAATAAACACAAAAATTAGTATGCAAAAATGATTAAATCTTTTATATCTAAAAACAAAAAACATTAAATTATTTAAATAAATTTTCTATTAAATTTATATATTTTATATTAAATAAGATCGTATAACAACAAAAAATTTCAAATTAAAAAAGTAAAAAAAATGAAAATTAATAAATTATAATTTCTGTTTTTAATATTTGACATAAAATCTGTGATATATCAAATATATAATCGAGTTATTATTTGATTCAATATTATACGACAAAAGATTATTATAAACAATTTAAGTTTACAATAAATAAAGCGAAGAAAAAAAAGTGAGATTACTCTATCACACCGTTGTCTCATTTTATCTACGTTTTGTTTTATCTAATGCAAACTTAAATTGCTTATAACTTAATAAATAAGTCTCAATCTATATTTTTGTATATTTTTGTATATTTTTGTATACTAACTTTTGCATTTATTTTGATCTCTGGATCTCTCTAGAGATCTTTAAAAATATTAATACGAATATATTAACATTCTGTATTACACGTGTACATTTTATTATGAGTATGCATTTACGTATACAAATTTTACAATTTTTTCTACTAGAAATTAGACGTTACAATTTCTCTATTTTATCCATCGAACTAGGACATGGAGAGATTCCGTTGTAATTAGCGGGTTTTACATTGATTCGCTACATTCCGACAAAAGATGATATTTATTGTAGTTTTACTGTTTTGTCAATTTGCGAAATGATCGATGAGTTCACTGGCGAATTGGAATCCGAATAATTTCGAAATTACACCGCGTGCTTAATGAGCGGGATTTTTTTTTTTTAAATTTTTTTAAATTTATTTATACTTTTGCAAAATTCTTAACTCTTTATAATATTATATGATTTTCGAGTTATACTCATACATACATATATATTCGTTTTCATTTTTTAAATCTTATTTGATTTTTTCATTAAAATTTAAAATAATCTTCTATTTTCATATTTTCTTAGAAATTATATTTCTCATTAGAAATATGTTTATTATAAAAATTTCTAATTTTCATTTCAAAATATATTTATTCAGGAAAAATTATTTTAAAATTATCATTTTTTTCTTAAACACAAATTGAATTATAAAAAGTTAAAACATTTATTAAAGAATTATTATTAAAGAATTTATAAACTCAAACTCAAACTTTTTTAAATTCTTATAATTCAATGATCTACGTTTTTATTGTCATAAAGCTTTAAGATAAAATTTTTTAAAAATTTATATTATTGAATATAATTTAATTAATAATAGTTTATCCAGTTAATAATTCAAAATTAATAAATTCTTAATAAATGTTTTTAATTACCTATTAAGAATTTTGAAAAAATATAAATTATGAACAAATATATTAATTATTCATTAATAATTGAAAATGAAAATAACAACAATGAAAGTTTTAATAAAAATCTAAATTTAATTTCTTATTTAATAAAATTTGTTTAATCAATCAATTATTTATTAAAATCAATTATTATGTCTAAATTTTTCAAAATATTTTTCGAACGAAATTACAAGTTTGCCCAAATGGCTAACTTATTCGCAGTGTATCAAAAACTTTATGAAAATTCGTCAAGTTTTTTTTGAGAAGTTATAAACTGAAGTTTCGAAGCAACTTGAGCAAACTCATCGATCGTGCTAATAATTCTTCCCGGCCAAGTGTTCTTAGTAATTAATATACGAACAAAAATAAAAAAATAGGTCGACTGATTCCAATTTTGAAACATCGATATCGAATGTAACTTCTTTTTAAAACAAAAATATAAATAAATAAATTTGATATATTTTCAAAAGTGATGAAAATTACAATTGAAGCAAAGTAACATAAGAACACATCTTAATACATCTTTTAAGATTTCTATAAATCTATAATAATAAATGAATCAATTTCAGTATTAATTTCCTTTTCATTTTGAACAAATTATTAACATAAATTATTAAAATTCTATTCTTAAAATAATAAACGAAGTTAACTACAAAAATAATATAAGAATATAAAATATTTAAAATTAAAATATATATTGAAATCAGTCGAATATCAATAACGAATATTATTGTACGTAATGATCAAAAGGTGAATCATTGTAAAAAGAAGAAATATCTTCAAAATTGAAAAAAATACGTAGATGCATGCAACATACAACATCATAACGTTTTTTTTTCCCTCATTCATCTCTTTCTATCTTTCTATGATCCATTTCCCTCGAAGTCGTTCGTCCCTAACAATAATAATTTTCGTCAAGTATCACAGTCGATTAGTCTCGATTAATTTCAGAGAATTTTTACGGCCAGAATCAAATTCGATTCGACGTATAGTAATATCGTACATTGTAGAGATATTCTTCGACTGGGTCGCAAAGTGTCCTGGATTCCTCGGCTTCCGGTCCCTAATAGCGCAAAGCAATCTCCAGAATATCGAACTGTACTATACGTAACTTATTTGTAACTATTATGCTAGTATTGATAGCTACAGAATGAAATACGTATCGATACTTCAGAGAAAATATACATGAATAATATAAATAAATATATATAGAGTACATGCTAAAATAAATAGAGATATCACATGAACAATATATCTTACTATTTTAATTTTTTAGTTTTTTCGAATTTTGAATGATTAATGGAATTAATGCATTTTAATGCAAAATCAAATTTGTATGAATATAATTAATGAAATGGAATTTAAACGGACATTTTCTTTATTCTTCAAATATTAAAATGCATCGTGTATAATTTTACATATTCAAATTTTTTATAAATAAAGAAATATCCGTAATTTAATGATGAAAGTAAATTTTAATGTTGTTATATTAATGTTGTTATATTGTTTTGGTAAATCCAGTAAGGTTAATACAATGAAGTTTTAATGCATTAGATCTTTATTTCTGAAATATTTAAAATCTATTGTGTAAATAAATAAAATATATATTCTGCGAGAAAGAATACAAAATTTGAGATTTAAAATTTTACTATTTTTTATGTGTATATTAGTAATTTTTTATTTATTTTAAATTCTCTGAAATATCGACATGTATTATTGAGTCATCTTGTGTAATAGAGAAGGATCTTCGAGAAATATCGATGTATTCTTCTATTATTAGTAAACAGTAGTTGTATTTTTTTTATTTCAGTTATTTGTATTTCTTGAAACCCTCTGTAACAATATTTGATTGCGAAATTGCATGGTATATTTATAAACTTTATTTTCATGAAAATTTGTATAATTATCTTTTTTATTATTTTTTTTTT